CAAGGATGCATGGCCTAGAATATCCCTGGGCATCTGAATTCAAAGAGATGTGTACTTTTTTTCCATGTCATTTAATTGAGCTCCTTTCCATGGGGCAGGTGGGTTTTTCATTTAGCATCAGCCCATGTGAGGCCATGTCTGCTTTTCCAGCTGAGCCACCCTCTCCATGTGACTCAGAGCCCTGCCTGAATGGTGGATCGTGTGATGCTCATGAAGACTCCTACACCTGTGACTGTCCCCGAGGCTTCACTGGAAAATATTGTGAGAAAGGTACTTGCCAACATTGAGGTAGTTGAACAGAATCTATGTTCCCAGTCCTGCTTGGATGGGAGACAACTTTTTTCTCTCTAGAACAGGATTGGGTAAGAAATTGGTTGCAGGGATTTTTTTTTTCCTCTCCTATGACTGAACCAGTGCATGATTCATCCTGTGGCCAGCCAGATTTGGTTGAGACCATTGAAGGAGTATTCTGCCCTTAGAACATCCCTTACAGGATCCTTAGTGTTTCTGTATCAAAAAGCACCCAATACATTGGCCGTTGGAAAGTATTACATCTTGGGACGTGGTGTGTCTTAACAGCTAATCTAAGAAGGAAATACTGTATCTAGGGAGTGTTCAGTTGGAAGAGGGAAAAGTATGGTTTTATGGGGCAATCAGTATGGGAAGAGGAAAAGATAATTTGGAGCATCCATGTCCACATGCAGAGCACTGTTGGCAACTCCTTAAATCAAATACTTCTTTTCCTGGGATCAGCAGGCAGCCACACAAGACCCCACTGCTTCTTTAAGGAGTTGCTGACAGTTATTATCCAAGTGTCCCCACATGCTCCAGGGGGCTTTTCCCCTTTGTGTCTGGATCACCGTACAGCCCTTGTTTTGTATTTATCCTTTTTATGTCACTAGTAGTGACCTTTTCCAGTAATCTTTGTTCACAGTGTTCTAAAAAGCAAAACTTGGTTGTGAAGGGTGGCATACAAATTAATAAAAAAGTTGAAAAAGATCCTTGAATCAAGGGCCCACAAAATTTAGGTGTTAAAATACTGTTGTTCCAAGCTGCAATAACAAGATTTTTGTTAATTATCTCCTTTAATTGTAGTAGTTGCATTTCAAAAGTAGATTATATAGAGCCTGACTGATCAAATCAAAAGTCCATTTAGTGCAGCATTCTTAGCATTTATGCTTTTAGGAACAGTCTGGGGCATGGAGGAATTCTCCTGGTTTTTCACCTGCTGTTAGCTCTGATTTTGAGGTTCCTTAATAAAAGACTAATTTGAAATTTTAATTTAATATTAATTTATTTTTAATTTAATTTAATTTAATAATAGACTGACTTAAAACAGACTGATAGCTAGTGATGGACAAATTCCTTTTCAATGTCATCTAAATAAGGGGCAATTTCAATTTGAGAGAATGGTTTACTGTTTAGTTATGAATCCTATCTTGTCTTAGCTATCGTTCGTTAGTTGTTGTATCTGAAGCCAGATATGTGGCTTATTTATGGCTTGTGCTTGTACTCAGCTCACAATGTGGATATTGGCAAAATAAATAAGGAAAACCAATACCAGGTACTGAATACAAGAATTTGTCATTTGTTTGCCAGCAAGTCTAATGCCAACTTGTTCAACAAACCATTCTTAAAACAAAGCTCGCCTTAGCAATATTTGAATGAGTAATGTTATAGGTCGCAGAAATTGGTTTGGGTGAAGTATTTGGCTTTCTATCTTGAATTTATTCATAATCCACATCTGTGGATTGGTTACTGAAAGTTTAGGAATCAGTTTAATGGGACAAAAGGACTAGACAAGCAGCGAACAGCATTACTCCTTTCATCCCATTTGTATGGTTTGGAAGGTTTATTTTCCAAGGATATATAGCAAGTATTGTTACTTTTCTCTTGCCAGCAAGACCCAAATTGTGCAGCTCTGGACCCTGCCGCAATGGAGGGACCTGTAAGGAGTCAGATGGAGAATACCACTGCACGTGTCCCTACCGCTTCACAGGGAAGCACTGTGAGATAGGTACTCAATGGCATACCATTGTCCCTTTGGAAATGCTTGGAATTGTACACTATATAACTTACGTCTTTTTTTTTTGTAGGTAAACCTGATCCTTGTACCTCAGGGCCTTGTCATAATGGGGGCACCTGCTTTCATTATATTGGCAAGTACAAATGTGACTGCCTCCCTGGATATGCTGGACGGCACTGTGAGATAGGTATTGGAACAGGAGGAATCTTTATCCACTGGAGCATAATTGTGAACCAAAAGACTTTGCCTGTACCCTTTGGCCTGGACAAGAGGTTTGGGGTTGGGTTCTTTCACTCATTAGGCAGCAGTTTTTTTCTGCCCCAAAGAATAAAGCTAAAGAAGGGCCTACTTTGCATTAGTATTTAAAATAATTACCAACTCTCTCCCATGAGAGAATATTTTTAAATGGGCATTTATTGTGACTTTTAGAAAAATGTGATAAGCTTTTGATAACAATTTATCTCAATCAAGAGGATAGTGTCTGTCCCTCCAGCTGTTGCTGAACTACAACTCCCAACATCATTCACTTTTGACTTCTAGGACTTCAAATTCCACATTTGAACACAGTCCCCATCCATATCCTAATCCCCTGAAAGTTTCATAAAAATAAACACACACATGAAAAAGGGAGGGAAAGGTCATGTTCAAAAGCTTTAGTTTTCATGTTGCTTGTGTAAAACTGCAAAGATGTAGTTTAACAACTCTTACCTACTGCATGTGATAAACTTCTTTAGTAACTTCTGATAAAATTAATGACATCTGTACGGAAGAGAGGAAAGATGTAGAACAAGTTGATACTTGGCTAATGTAACTCTGTATTCACCTTAGTTTGTTTTTTAAAATAGGGTAATCTATGGGCCTTAATCTTTTGTATTTTACATCCCTCAAACAACCTGGGTCCTACTTCAAAACAAAAAGTTTACTTTTTCCAAGAAGGGCATTAATATGCTGTATAGGCATTCTGTTATTATATTGATTCTTTCATCATCAGTGTCATTATTATTATCATCATCATGAAAGCAGCATAAGAAGGTTTCAGCCATGTATACACTTTTTGGGCCCTAAGTCCCATTAAACTCAGCTAGATTTAAGTCGTGAGTAGGCTTCAAATGGAACTTGGTTGGCACTCCAAGACTCTCCCCACCTTACATATGTTTGCAAAAAATAACTTGACAGCCTTTTGCTTGAATGAACCAAAAACGATAGAAGAGAAAATAAAAAATGGGTGAAGAGTGAAAAGGAGATGCTAGATCTACCCCATAAGTGCCAAGTGACAGAGATATCATCATACTTCCAAGACTGAAAAAGGAGCTAGTGCTGGATACACCAATGTACCAGCACTACCACTTTCTTTGCCCCCTTCCAGCTGGCTCTTAGTTTCCTTGATCACCTTGCATGGGTTGTAAGTGCTTGGTCACTCTGGCAGGCTCAATTGTCACCTCTGGCTCCTGAATGACAGAGAAAACCCTAGAAAGGAGGTGGTTGGTGGACCAAATAGTTCAGAAAAGGAAGCAAAGTGGATGTAGAGTGGAAACAGCTAGTTCAACTATTGCCTGGCTTAAACAGCTGCAGTGTGTGAACAGAAAGACTGCACGGAGGCTCATATATGTTGGGAAACACAATCTGCAGGGGAATTTATCAGTTTGCCCTTGTTCCACCTAGACTGCTTCTGTGTACTATCAATAGCACACCCACCACTGGCTAAGAAATACTGGTTTAAATATTGGGTCAGTATATCCGCAATAACTTGGTGAATGCGTATAATCAGAATACAGGTTGTTCTGCAGTTTATTTCTTCCAAAAAGAGGCTACTTCCTGCATAGATAATTAATAATTTAATGAAATGTCTTTTTTAAAATATCAGATTCCAGGAAATTTTAAATTATGGCTTTGCTTTGCAGATTTAAGCAGAGACTAAGCTATATTAATGATTAAGGCATTGGACTGAGATCGGGAGACCCAAATGCAAATCTCCACTTGTTTATGGGGCTCATTGGGTGACTTAACCCAGCCCTTCATAGTATCATTGTGGTGGGGGAAAGTAAGGGGAGTCTCACCATGCACTGCATATTGAGCTGTCAGAGAAAAGGGGGATATAAATGTAATCACAACAAAAACTACCTAAAGGGTCTTCTGTAATATCTCAATGGACATATGATATTATTGGATAGGGTCAGACTCATGCTCCTTCAGCCAGCCAGCCAGCCCCTCCCTCCCTTTTTCATGCCCTGGGATGCCCAGGCAAGTCTAATGTGAGTGTTCCATGTCTTTTCTTGCATTGAGAGAATGTTTCAACAAACAGAGCCTCCATCTAGCCTCCAATTCCTGCCATTAGTGAGATGGCATTAGTAACCACTTATGTTAAGGTCCTTCATAGATGCTTTTGTAAGCCCTGTTTTGAATAGGAAATGGAACAGTTTACCATGTTGGAATGGAATCTGTTTTACAGCTCCTTCTCCTTGTTTCCTGCATCCATGTAAAAATGGGGCCACTTGCGAGGATCTTGGCAACAGCTATGACTGCATATGCTCCACAGGTTACACAGGAAGACACTGCCAATCAGGTAACATTAGAAAAGCATAACACACCCTAAAGAAAAGAACTTTCCTTATTGGAAAAGATAATAATTGTCACCATGAGATGTTATCTGTGCCAGGAAAGAGGGCAGTGCCTGCATTTTTATTAAACAAAGTACTGGATTTCTTTTTTGAATAAAAATCATCAGTGTTCTAGAATATTCTAGTTCACATATTTTTTATTTTCAGAAAAAATGTAATTAGGAACTGGCAGCACAGCCAGGGTAAGGCATGCTGGAATTCACAGCCCAGAGCTTTGCAAAGAATTTGCTTTCCCCTCAGAGACCAGGGAACTAGAGTTTGTATCCATATTGATTAGAAGTTGTGCCAAAACTTGCATTCGTAGCATTCTTTAAATAAGCATGCAGGTATGGTTGCATTCTTTTGGAAGCCAGTAGCTGAAAGCTACAATAATATACCTTTTCCAAAATAACTCTGTACTCACGCATGAATATGCCTTTATATTTACAGATGATCACCCAGGAGGCTCATCACTGTGAGGCCTTTATTTATGCAACTTAAAGACTATAATGGCATCCATTGCTCTCTGGTCTTTCTCCTACCACAGACCTCACTGTCTTTCTCTCTGTCTGTCTCTTTTTTTTTACTTTAGAGATTGACTGTGGTATCCCCAGTGAAGTGAAGTATGCTCAGGTAGCATTTAACTCCACTAAGATGGGCTCCTTGGCAACATATCACTGTGCTCTCGGATATATTCTGAGTTCCCAAAACAGCCCTCGCCTATGTACGGCACAAGGTGTCTGGAGTGATCCACCAGAGTGTAATGGTAATTTGATTCACTGTCTGTGTGTGTGTGTGTGTGTGTGTGTGTGTGTGTGAGAGAGAGAGAGAGAGAGAGAGAGAGAGAGAGAGAAAACAGTTCTCTGTCAACTTCGAACAACCATTTCTCTTGAGTTTTATATTTCAGCACAACTATACTATTCTGTAACAATTAAATTGAACATATTAATCTTGGGAGAATGATTGAATGAAATCAATCCTCCTTTTGATTTCTATAAATATTTTTTTGTTATTCTAAAAAAAAAACCTTGGAGACTGCTATACTTCTATAGTATAGAAGTCTGCTAGACTAATGATTAGCCTGGCTAGGGATTAAGAAGGTTGAAGTCTAGTACATTTGAAGAGTACCATATTGAAGAATGCTATCATACGCAGTTAATAATAGCTGGGAGAATATAAACTTGTATCATTATCTGTAGCATCTGGATGGACTCAGGTTTGCAGGTATTTTGAAAGCTGGTATCTTGATTTATTTCCATGTGTGTCAATATATGATATACATATATGAATATACATATATAAAATAGGTTCCTTGCACAAAAAATGATTGCCTTACCATTTCTCTATCTCAAGGTAAAGGTAGAGAAATGAAAGACTTTTCAGTATAGGACTTTTTTTCTCATGCATCTTCCCAATTTTGTACCTGCTTTTTACTGTTAAAAGGGAATATCCTAAATATGGGAGACTTGTTATAAAATTGCTAGGACAAGAGGTTATCCAGGATCAGACAACATGGTGCTCTACAGTTTTTTGGACTATAGCTCCCCCAGCCTGTTGCCATGAGCCATGCTGGCCAGGCCTGATGAGAGTTAAAGTCCAAAATGTTTGCAGAGTATCAGTTTGCCTACTCCCGTTCTAGGCAGTTTAGTTCGGGCAATGCTAATGATCTCAGTCCTGCATTATGTCCAGCAATCATAGCTCATGTGAACTGAAGAAAATTATTATGTCCATAATTCTTGACAGAAGAATAAGAAGTAAGATAATGCTGATAAGCCTGCAAGACATAAAGATTGAATGGTTAGGGTTCTGTGATGGAATGGAATTATGAAGGCCAGACTCAGGGAGAAAAACATTTTCTTTCATCTCCTGAGGCATGAGGGAGAGATAAGAGGATGAGACTGGCTCCTCCCTGAGGAATTCACAATGTTGTGGCTGGCATTACTTGGAAACTGGGGTTTCAGTCTGGGAAGATTCTTGCTAGAGGTTATAGCTAATAAACATTGCTGGACTGAATTTACATGGTTTCTTGGAGTTAGACTGGGACCTCCCTGAGGAATTCACAATGTTGTGGCTGGCATTACTTGGAAACTGGGGTTTCAGTCTGGGAAGATTCTTGCTAGAGGTTATAGCTAATAAACATTGCTGGACTGAATTTACATGGTTTCTTGGAGTTAGACTGGGACCTCCCTGAGGAATTCACAATGTTGTGGCTGGCATTACTTGGAAACTGGGGTTTCAGTCTGGGAAGATTCTTGCTAGAGGTTATAGCTAATAAACATTGCTGGACTGAATTTACATGGTTTCTTGGAGTTCCTTGGGCTAGACCTGACATCAATCTTCCCAGACTCTAACCCCAGTTCCCAAGTAATGCCAGCCACAACATTGTGAATTCCTCAGGGAGGTCCCAGTCTCATCCTCTTATCTCTCCCTTATGTCTCAGGAGATGAAAGAAAATGTTTTTCTCTCTGAGTCTGGCCTTCATAATTCCATTCCATCGCAGGTTCATTGTGAAGGAGAAGCAACTCCCTTCATTACCCTATGCAAATAATAGGAAACTCCTGCTATCTACTGTAATCAGTGGCACTACAGGTTCTTGGTGTAATATCTTTAACTTCAAGAATCACTGAACTATGTAAAGCAAACATTCTGGGCTTGCTGCTCCCTGAGGCACAGCTTTGTGTTTATAAGGATGCCTCTACCTTAGAAGCTGTTCAGTCTAAGTTTCTGAAAGCCACACTTCATGTCCCTCATCCAAATGCCCTTGTTCAGTTAGAGCTTGGCTGCATTTCTCTGGGGCTGGCCTGTGACTCTGCCATCTCAGATTTTGGCTGAAACAATTTTGGGGGGGGGGGGGGGGGTTCCTGGTTCACCACATCCTACTGGGTAGGTTTTCCTCATCCCTGAAGAAACAGATTGACTCCAATCTGGCATACAGTGACTTCTCGCTCCTGGCAATATCGTTACTTGGCCCAGATAAAGCCTTAATTGAATTTAAACAGAGAATTTGGGATTTAGACCTACAAAATGATAGGGTTAAAATCATGCACCCTTATTATGGAATAATTGCAGATTCTCCATGGACAATTCCTAGTTACCTCTATAACATCTTACATGTTCCACATAGGGGATTTTTAAAATCTTGGTTCAGATTGGTGCACTACCTAATATACTAATCTCCCATACAATAACTATATGTGTGTTTACTCTGATTCAGAGGTTGAGTCTGTAATCCATGTATTGTTACTGTCCATTGTACCACCCATGATGTCTGTCACTTATAAACCTGATTGTCAGAAATTTTAGTTGTGTCTCTGATCAAGAAATTACAATTGTCCTTCTGCAAGGTTATAAAGGTTGCTAAGCTTCTAGCAATGGCTATGGCTTGCAGAAGTCAGTTGGTACCTTCTTTTCATTTATTGTTTCAGGTTTGATTTTTCTATATTTTAAATGTTGTACGTGTGTTTTATTGGTGTAGAGCAAGGAGAAAAGGTAGGAAGGACGGAAGGAAGGAAGGAAGGAAGGAAGGAAGGAAGGAAGGAAGGAAGGAAGGAAGTCATTAATCACATTTCTTATGTCAGTGCACATAATAACCAACACTGATTCCTCCCCACAGTAAAACATTGCTAATAAAATTGCCAAAGGGAGGTAATTCTTCTTAAAGAAGGGATGAAGCATTCACTCCCCATTGTGTGTGCTTCAAGTGTACTAAAACATCAAAAGATCTGTCACAGAACTTAGGAAACTGCCTTCTATGGTGACATTGTATACATAGATATAAGGTCCATCTGTAACTTACTATGGTCACTTGTACTGACTTGTAGCAGTTCTCCAGTATTTTGGGTGGCATATCTCCTAGTTCTACTTTGGGTTGTCAGGATTTGAATCTAGAAACTTTTGCATACAGAGCATGGCTCTTCCCATCCCTATGAAATGTGTTTTGGGGAGAAGAGCAGATACTGCAATTGTTTTCTCCTTTTTGTCTATTTAGCTATCTCTCTCAGAAATCAAAATTCCCTGTGTTCTGATGGGGGGGGGGTTGTTTTTAAAATGCACAATTTCTGATGTTCAAGCTAATGATACCCCCATATCTCTATACTTACAATTTCGGAAACAGGAATGTAGCAGTCTCTTTCCAGATGCTTTCTAGACATCAGATTTTCCATTGCAAATGGGTGATGGCTGCTTCTTCTGCCTTCTCTTACAGAAATTGATGAGTGCAGATCTCAACCCTGTTTAAATGGGGGGTTGTGCAAAGATCAAATTGCCAATTTCCTTTGCTTATGCAAAGCTGGCTATACAGGAAACAACTGTGAATTGGGTAAGAGAATATGTAAATATATTTGCCAGGAAATTGTTTAATGTCATTGTTTATTAGTATTGTTCATTGGGTCACAACTCTATTAATGCCTTGGAATCCTGTTGCATATATGATCTCAAAAGTAGGGCTACCACATAAGTGGTGCCAAAATCAAAGTGACCACTAGGAGATGACAAAGAGATTCAGAAAACCCTGACACTTTCCTACCATCCAGTGCTCATCCAATTTTTGCAGCCCATATATGGTAGCCATACCTGAAAACTTTCCTAAAAAAATATGTGGTAACAACTTGACAAAAGGCTATGAAAGAATGGGCAAGATAAAAATTGGGGTGAGTTGCTATAGCCAGGTCCTCCTGCACTAGGTAAGGCTGTACTGGGTGCACCAGCTGAAGCTGGACAGAGGCCCTTCTAGCCACAACTTCCACTTGCTTTTGAAGCGGAGCCATGATTCCAGAAGGGCTCCCAAATTGCAAACCTGTTTTGGAATTTAGAAGACCCTGGATGTAGTAGATATATTTATTTTGGCAACTGCCCAATCTTTTCAGTCATTATCTGAGTAACTATCAGATGTATCAAACTACAGTTCCCAGAATTCCCAGCCACCATGAGTAGTTCAACATATCTGGAGTATACCAAGTTGAATAAAGCTATCTTAGGTCAGAGATGTTGGCATATTGTGTGAGACAGCTGTATTTGGGGGCAGGGGTGCAGTGAGGATAGCAAAGTATAATATTTTATTCATTTTTCAGTGAGTTATTTAGTTCACACAACTGTCTGTTCCTTCTTATGCAACTTTTCGTCTTCTTTGCTTGCTAATTTTCTATGGGGAGGAAATGTACTTACCTAGAAAAGCATTCCATCATGCAATTAAATACTCAGCCTATATTTCCTTCCCCAACAGACGTAAAGTGGCAATATTTTATTTGCATGTATTTTAGGGAAGACATTTTTAACACACTTCAGGATAGGAAGAACTATTAAACCTTTGAGCAACTCTGCTTTAGAATACTATGTTATATGATTCACCTGTATCTTTAAACCATTCCAGCTCCTTTCAGATCTGGGACCCTTTCAGATCTCTTGCCTGAATGCATGGAGGCTGGAGAGGGGCAGGAAGAGGTCTTCAGGCAAGCTCCTGTTCTTTCTCCATAGCGAGCTCCTCACATGTTCAGAAGAGCTCAAGGAGTCTCTCAGGGTTCTTCCTATGAAGGAAGAGCTCTAAGTAAATAAGGAAAACAAAAAGATCACTCTCCAAATGGCCAAAATAGATCAGATTAAAATGGAAAATTAAAGTACATTCCATTTAAATGCAGTTTCACAATCATTATGCACCTGACGTCCAGATGTTGGGAATAATCTTAATATCTAGATTCATGGTTGTAAAATATCCCAGTCTCAAAATAAGATTTTTATAAGCTGGGTCCCAGCTGAATAGTTGTTCTTTTTGCCCCTTGCGTGGATCCTCTTGTTCAGTTTGAATAGGAAAGTGGAATTTAAATTGAATAAGCAAGTAAAAGATTACTTAATACATTGCATTTTTAATGGTAATTAAGCTTCCACTGGACACCATTGAAAGAATCTAGTACTATCATTTAAATTTAGTCTCTACTTTGTATTAAAAAAAGTAGAGAGAAAAAGATTAATTCCCAAATAACATTAGGCTTTGGAAAAACTAATGGCTGAGGGAAAATATTTATGCACACAAAATAACTAAAGTTATATTTGCGGGATGCAGTGTGCCATGTCCCTCCACCCTAGAAAACACCCTTGAAAAGCTGTAAGTGCATCTTTTCCCCAATGTCTAGAATTCCCATGAGCCCACCTGTAGGCCAAGCAGGTTGGGAATTCTAGGAGTCATGGTCCCAACACTTCTGGAAGGTGCTCTTTTGGAGAAGAAAGAGTTGGGGAGAAAAAAGCCACACATAGAAGGATATTTTTTCTTGCATTGCTGAATAGGTCTTTATGGCCCAGGGAAAGTTGGCAAAAAGCAGTTTTGATGATCATCTCTTTCATGAGAGTGTTTTCTTTAAACTTGCTGAATTGAGCAATGGGAGGACTACATAACTTCCCATTATCTTCTTAGATATGAAAGTTCTGTTTTCAGATGACAGAAATAAAGGCAAAACCCCAATCTGTTCATACAACTGAGGTAGAATTCTCAGCCCTCTGAGAAGAATGGGAAGAACTAGTGCTGGGAGCATTGCAAATAATTTATTAAGGAATGAAGGGATGCAAGCTTGAAATAATGCCATTGTTAACAAGGGGAGGGGACCTCAGTAGATGAAAGTAGCAAAGTATTAACCAAACAAAAAGAAAGTTTGGTTATAAAATGGTAGCTAATACATTCTACAGTACTTTTTCAAATTACAAAATAATCTCAGGACATTCCTTAACTATTGGATGCACTGAATTATATTTATACCTGTTTCTTCATTGGGCTCTGATCCAGACCTGTTAGCAAAATAAATGATGGCCTCTTGTTCAGCCAGTTCACTCCTTACAGAACTGTGACTATAGGCATTCACCTACTGTGAGCAAGTACTATCTACCTTTGCTTGAGTCAACATAAAAAAACAACAGCGTGAAATTTGCTGCTCCCGTTGGCAGCCCCTCTGTTGTATCTGTTCATTCCTGGATGGGGTTGTCCTGTTCTTCTCTGGCCTTGCTGCTGTCCCTTTTCAACATGTCATCAGACAATAAGGAAAGCATTGACAATCAGTGCATTGAAGCAGGAATGGCAAATCAGACTGGGCTCCCCATTTGGGTACCACCTTTTTTCTCCGTGTGTGTGTGTGTGTATGTGTGTGCCTTCTAGTCAGTCTTGTCTCCTGGTGACTATTTGGACTAGACCCTACAGTTTTCTTGGCAGATTTTTGGAAGTGGTTTGCCATTGCCGTTTTTCTAGGGCTGAGAGAGAGTGACTGGCCCAAAGTCACCCAGCTGGTTTCGTGCCTATGTGTCCTCCTGCATTCTGCAGCAGCCACTGCCTGGCCCTGTTCATAGTGCCAGCCATATGTGTGCCCTCCCACACTCTGCAGCAGCCACCCCCTGCCTGGCCACACTCACGCTACACTGCAGCAGTCACCTCCCTCACCTGGCTGCACTCTGTAGCACTCACCCACCTGCCGGCCAACTTGTGAGCCACCTGAGACTTGTGACTTTGTGCTGGCTTCCCCAATGATTTTGCCTGTTGCAAGCCAGCAGGAAGTTGCAAGCTGGTCCTCGCTTAACAGCCAGTGATCCTCGCATAACAACGGCAGCAAGGACTGCCAGGATTGCTATCCCTAAGCCATATGGCCACGTGATGTCATGCTTTACGACCACATCGCTTAGTGTCAGAAATTTCGGTCCCAATTACCAAGCGAGGACTACCAGTAATCACAAAAAGTACGACTATTGTATCTTATGGTAGAGATACATTTCAGGATATCCTTAAAGTGCATTAGCAGTAGCATGTCCCTTCTTCCTGGAATGAAATTGTAGAGATCTGGTCCTCTCTCCTCTACTTTGTTGGAAATCTCGAGTGAAATTGGTGTCAAACATAGCTGGAAAGTGAGAGGTATGAAAGGAAATCAAGAGACACAATACTAATGGAGAGGAGAAAATGCTGGGAGAGAAATGTCTGCCATGAAGACTAACTAGTAACCAGAGGGGGGGATGTACTCGCACCTCCCAACACTCTCAAAACAACTTCTAATTACACATTGGACATTGTAAGGATAAGGGGAAAAAATATACTTTTATACTAGTGCAGTTTATGGCAGTTTAAGGCTGTGTCAGACTGCGAACATGACAAGAACAACATTGAGAGGCAAAGTGGGGAATTGTTGTCAAGGCATGGTTGTACTATGGTTATGGGCACATAAGGACAAGGCATATGGGCCAGTCATTCTTCCACAGTCATAAATGACACCCTGTGGTTTTGCTTTTTGGAGACTCCTAGGAATTCAATTGTTACAATTATTTGTCAGTTGCAATTAAGTAGGGCTGTACTCATATTCCTTGGGATACAATGTCTGTCATCCTAAAGCATATCCTCAGCTAGAGCAAAGGGAGGTATCTGTCTGAGCTGCTTCTGAGTGTTATCTGTCTCTTGTGGGCTTTTTACCCCTCATTGCCCTAGCAAGGATCTTGCATATCTCTGTCAAGGTCATCTTCCTACTCCCTACAACAGTGTTTCTCAACCTCAGCAACTTTAAGACGTGTGGACTTCAACTGACAGAATTTCCCAGCCAACAAGGGGATTCTGGGAGTTGAAGCCCACCCATCGTAAACTTGCCAAGGTTGAGAAACACTAGTCAAGTCCATGCAAAAATGGTGGAATCTGCAAAGATTAGCCAGGATCATTTATCTGCCATTGTTCTGAAGGCTTCACTGAGACATGGAGTGAAATGTGTAAAAAATGAATGAATGGATATTGTTCCTAGAACTTCCAATATTACTTCTTACTAACAATGGAAGATAAACATCTTTATGTCATTTGATCTGTCTTAGTATGTTTTATTCAGTACACTTAACTATCATAGTAAAAAATCATAGTTATTTAAAGAGGTTATTCCTTCTGACATTGTAAGGCAGGTTGTTGTTGTTTTCTATAACCAGTTCAGCTGCTGCAGGTTGCCTAAGCCTTGGAGCCCATCTGCACACAGCAGTATAAATTAGAACATATCATTGCTCCTATTCTTAGAAAATGCTATTTGGAGACTTACAGACTTTATACTTTCTGATAGAGATTTTAGGTGGCATGAAGTGGTCACCTAATCATCTCACTAAGGATGATGGTAATCTGCAGTGACTAGCTATGTTGAGCCAGCTGTGATATATTCCTATTATTTTCAGACTTTGTGTACATCTCCCCTGTCATGAGGCCGTTCATTATGGACAGTCAGATTGTCATTTTAGAAAGTCACCTGAGTGATGTATTTCTTAATGAAATTGAAAACCCCTGGAAAGGTTGCTAAAACCAAATTTGAAATTGCACAGTCAGCTGGGCCCTATAAGTAGCTTTATTCTTAGGCTTTCTTGAATAGAAAGAATAGTGTCATCATCTGACATGAATTTCCTCCACCAATTTCGTGCTTATTAAGAAGAAAATATATATTATCTGGATCCAGCCAGGGTGGGTTTTCAGTTTATTCACTGCACTACAGCAGGCATCTTTGTAAGGGGCTATCCACCAGAAGCAGAGTCATCTTCTTAATTCCATGTGACACCTCCTACAGATATCTGAGTGAGTGTATTTATGCTCCCCAGAAGTGGATGCCTGTAAATCAAACCCATGTCGGAATCGAGGAAGTTGTGAAAACCACAGTGGTTCGTACCTGTGTGTCTGCCCAGAGGGCTTCTTTGGCTACCATTGTGAGTCAGGTAAAGTAACATGAAATGCAAAGGCCTTTAGTAAACTCAAAGGTTCTTGCTCACTTTCCAAGAAAGTAAATGGAGTGGGTAAATACAGGAGCATTTTAATGAAGAAGTTCAATCTTCCCTTGACAAACATTTTCACTTTCATCTGTATAAACTGTGGTTCTCAATGGATTATTTTGCCCTTCTTTCCTAGTTAGTGATCCCTGTTTCTTCAATCCATGTGGAAATAGAGGTTACTGTCTGCCCAGTAATGAATCTCACATCTGCACCTGCAAAGTGGGCTATACTGGAAGGAATTGTGAGAAAGGTAATTAAACTAAAAAGCTGAATCTACTATTAGTCATGCTCATCCTAGAAAATAGCAATTGTATGAATTAAATACCTTTTTCTCCTCCTTTTCTTCACTTGGGATGAACAAGATCTCCTTCCTAGTTTCATCTCAACAATTTCAATTGCTGGATGGAATTTCATTAGGAAAGTGTCATTGATTTTAGTATAGATGCTGTAATTGCAAAAACATCTTCTCATAATGTTTTTATAGATTCTTCTGAGGTAGCTGAATTCCATTATTTGACCTTCCTTTCCCAGTTTTCCTTCCAGGTATATTGTAATGTTGGCCAAGGAATTATGGGGATGAAAACCTTTACATTGGGAGGGCACAGTGGTGTTCAGGGAGGAGGGGTGTTAAAAAAGTCAGGATGGTCACAGCAGCACAAAGTCCCATCCCTTTGTATATACATATGATGCTGACGCACATACAAAATGGCTGGGGCTTTGATTGCATTGTTGCAACTGCTATTGTGACTTTTCACACACACACACACACACACACACACAGAACAGATGCTCCTAGTAAATTGAAGCAGTCTGTTATAAAATATAACAAAATGGCTGTTCCCAAACTTGGGTGCCTCCAATATGACTAGGAATTCTGGAAGTTGTTGTCAGAAAGGAACCAGGCAGTAGAAAGTTAAACTACTATGTAACTGCTGCCAGTGGGAGAACATATTTGATCATGGATAGGGGAAGAAAAGAATTGCATCATTTAAATGAGTTATATATTCTTCCTTCTTTTTGTTGGCACTGACACCACGAAGAGCTGCTGCCACCAATGTCATTAAAGGTGGAAAAAGTGGAGGAGAATGGGTTGTCAATCTCTTGGCGCCCGCCCAAGGACCAGGCTGCCAAGCATATGATTGATGGCTACGCCGTGACGTACGTATCCTTCGACGGCTCTTACCGCTGGACTGATTATGTGGACCGAAGTCGTGCTGCCCACCATTTGCGGGCACTAGCCTCCGGCAAAGCCTACAATATTTCTGTCTTTTCAGTCAAACGCAAATCGAATAACAAGAATGATATCAGCAGGCCCATCATGCTCGTCACTCGTACTAGTGAGTAGCTCCTTTAGAGGAATAGAGTTGTGGGTATAGAAATGCCTGGCTGCAGTAGCTAGAATGCCATGTAAGCAGTGCTCAAGGATCCTCAAGGCATATTGCAAGATCCTTAACATATGCCACAAACAGCCTTCCAGAACCTGGCTACTCTCCCTGTGTCTTAGAGTTCCATAACCTACAACTAGCATGGACAGAGGGCACTTGGTTGGGGAAAGCTGTAAAATAAGAATAATGGAGCGCCATGTCTTTGGTTCTTAGTAGAAATTTCCTGTATACCAGTCTAGCATCATTAAATTTAGACATGCTGCTTATCAGAAGAATGTTGGAAATGAACCAAGTAACATAGGAACAAAAGGAAAAATGCCGCATTAGTCTTCTCTTGTTCTCCAAATATTTATTCTCTTATAGCCACAATCTGTAAAAGTCAAAGTTGCCGCAAATAATTTGCAGTGGAAGTTAACAAAACTATCATTTCATCAGCCCACCCCCCACCCAAATTGTAAATATTTCTTCTATATATGTCCTGATATAATTTAGGCTAGATTAGTCCAGATTAATTGCATTTTCAGACAATGCTTAAAATGCTCCCAAAAAGGATTCAACTGGCTGCTGCTTGCTAGCTTGTGATATTTAGATTTCCTTAATTGTAATAAACAAACAATTTTTTTAAAAAAAGATGCTGAAATATCATGCTTGATAACTTATTAGTGTCCTTTGGATACAGAAAGTAAATTAATTTTGATTATTACCTTTAAAGATATAGATTGTGTGGGGGAACTATTTTCAAAGCTTATATGTGCTTCACTGTTTCATACCTGTCTTTCACAGTGGTATTTGGGATTATTTTTTTTTCAAAAAAGAGTCCTGGATGAATAGCACTGGGAGTGAGAGAGAGAATTCCAGATATTATTAATGAATAGAATTCCATATAATAATAGAGAATACAATGGTTTAAATTGTTTTTAATTGGGTAGACAAAATAGACACAAGCAAAATGACTTTTCAGAGAATCTGCTCTTCTTCCCCTCTTCCATCCCGATTTTTAGCAATATAATGTGTCAGGATAAATTAAGTGCAATTGAAAGAGAGCATACTGATGAAAGAAAAGCATATCATACCCGTATAAAACAAGAGCACAGGTGAAGCAGTAGACAGTGAAGTGCCCTAGGCAATGCTGCTAAACTTGATATTCTTTTTTTAGTCTAGGAAAATAAGAGGAAAGTATTTCTTCCTTAAGGATATGAACTGATAAATCCTGAAATGAACTACTCTGAGGGATGACTGATTGCATTTGTTATTATTTTGCAATGGTATTACTAATGTTCACAATTAAAGAGGACTCTTGCTTTGACCTCTTCTAAGAATTTGGTGCTGCCTGCAGTCTGGGTTAGAAGGCCTTAATACTAAGCACATGTGACACTTAATTAACTCTTGCAGGACCATGCATACATTCCTTAAACTGTTGAAGGAGCTGGGAGCTTAAGAGAGAAGACAAATGTCATTCTGCAGCATTACCTCCTCTAAAAATATTTTCACCCTCCAACAGCTCTGCTGGAATTGGATTGAGCTCTAATGAGAGTTAATGTGGGCAAGTCTTTATTTGCATTGTTCAGAATCTCACTAACTTGTATTGATCTTTTACTTAAAACATTTTACAGGCCAAGGCTTTTTCAAGTGTTATCTGTGTTGCTTTATAGCCATAATGATACAGATTTTTTTTAAATCTACATTATGGCTGTTGCTACTCCAAAAGGCAGAGTAGGAACCAGTTGGATCAATAGAGTTGCTATACCAATGAAATATTTGAGTGACTGAATGTTTATGGGTGATAGAGCTCAAGTTTGACTATTTTTCTGTAGGCTTTTGACTTCTGCTGGAATATGAATGCATAAGACACATGAAAGTCCCATGCCAGTTCGTACATTTGTTCTAGGAACTTCCCTGCTAATGTCAGTTACAGACCCATAGCATTAAATTAGCTCCACAGAAAGTTGCTGAATTGATGGCACTATAGTTCATGAATTTACATTTTCTGTGCTCTTATGCTTTTGGCTGATTGGTGAAAGCAACTTTCCCCATTGGTCCCCTCCAGAAGTTTGGAAATTACAATTCTCAGGAAGTCAGGAATACTAGTCCCAATGCATAGCACCAGGTTGGGGGCAGCAGAACTATAGTTAGTTTTTTAAAAGAATAATTGTGTGTATTCATGAAATATCTTGTTGCTAGTCTCAAGTACAAGCCCCAGACTGAGGCTTTTCTGGAAATTGGTATAAATTGTGGGCATATCCTTTCTACACCACTCACTTTTCACTAAGCATCTTTTGATGAGAAGCTGAAAGACCTAGCCAAAAGAACCTTGAATTTCTTGGCTCTAGTAGACTTTGGTAAATAAGAGGCCTCTTGGGCCCTGTGAAGTATAGGTTGGGTCTTACTACTGAATCTGTTGGCCCTCCTGAAATGGGCTGCGGTCCTTGGAGCTGTGAGTTCAGTCACCTGTGTTTTAGATCCAGGATCCTCCTGGTTGATTAAGGTCTCCCAGGAGGTAAACTGTGGCTGAGTCCATGCAGTGGTGAATGCTCTTCTGTGGGAAGGGGTGATTCCACCTGCCTTGAAAGAGATGGTTGTTCATCCCCTCTTTTGTCCAGTCTCCAGTCTTCCTTTTAGGGAAGATGGTTAGCTTACAGCTTCAGAGGGAAGGAGGAAGCAGAATAACTGGAACCCTGTCAGTCCAGGTTCAGGCCTGATCATAGTTCTAAGACAGCATTGATCACACTTGTCAGTGACTTTCGGCAGACTTGCACGGGGGTAGTGCATCCATCCTGATTCTCTTTGATCTCTCAGTGGCTTTCAGTACCATCAATCATTGTATCCTTCTGTGGGGATGGGACATGGGAGGCATGGTATTCTGGTGGTTTTCCTCCTTTCCCTGGGGATGGCTCCAGTTGATGTTGGAGGGTAGAGATTGAGCCCCAGGCCGCTGCTTTCTGGGGTGTGTCAGTGCTTCACTCTCTTCCCACTCCTTTTTAACATCTACATGAAGCTGCTGAGTCAGGTCATCCATCTATTGACATGGGGTATGGTATCATCAGTATGCTGATGATACTCAGATTTACATCTCTGTTTTGGTTTTACCAGGTGATACCACCAAGGTTCTTTCCCAATGCCTGGAGGCTCTGGGGGTTTGAATGGGAGAGATGGGTGGCCATATAAATCAAATAAATAAATACTTGATAATTGACTGTGTCACAGCTTCTTGAGGGAGACCTTTTATTATAGAATAAAATGCCTTCTCTCCAGTATAGTTGCAAGATGCCATGTAGTGTACTCCCAGAAAAGGAGGGTGCATTCTGTTGCAAAAGTCCTGTCAAAATCCCATAGGAACCTTTGCCTTCTGTAGAAAACTACTGAAATAGGAAGTAGGCTTCTGGTAGGACTGCTTCTTGAGGAAGATCAAGTGGGTGTGTTGTCAGTTGCAGTGAGTTGTAACAACCTCTTGCAATTCCCTTCTCTCATCCTAACAGGACCTCACCCAGTAGAAGGATTTCAAATAGCCAATGTGACTGCCACTACCATTACTGTGCAATGGGCTCTTCATAAGCTCAAACATGCCACAGTCAGCAAGGTGCGCCTGTCCATACGGCAGCCAGAGGATGTGGAGGATCATGCTGTAGAATTAAACAATACTGTGACCAAACACACATTTTGGTGAGCAAGATGTAAAATATATACTGGGATGGAAGAAGGGAGGTAATGGTGAATAAACAAAAGTAGTCCAGAGAGGTTTTTTGTAACTTAGCTAATCAGCTGGCTTGATTGAGCAGCAAAGATTAGACCTGTGCAAATCATTTAATGAGTGAAGCACCTCTCTAAATCCACTCCTGAAAGTCCCAGTGTAGCCGCTTGAAAATTGGCATAGCTGCTTCAAAGACCTCCTGGGCTTATTGGGGCATTATCAAATTATTTCCATAGGCCTAGCTCAGATTAGAAAGTATTTCTTGCTTAGATTTTTTTTCTGCAGTGTAGGAACTATACTGTATGAACTCTTTATCAAGAGTTTATCTCTAAACTTTATCTCTTTATCTCTAAAATTAGCTCTAGAATTCCATAATAAAGATGCCCGAGGGAAAGACAAGTCAACAAGACCAAGATGCATGAAAAATTAGGAAAATTTCAGTGAATTCCCTTATCCTATCTAAATCCACCTTTATTCCCATTAAATTAAATATTAAAACTCCTCTAATTAGACAATTGAGGCATGGATGTGGCAGAAAGTTGGAATTGGCATTGATCTCAAGTATTTATTTTATATTCAATAGCCATATACACATATTTGCATAGTTTATCTAAGTTTCTGACTCGTCAGTGGTCAATACGGAATAGCATATTTTTTCTTCCAAAATCGTACCATCTGATTGAGATTTATTCATCATATCTAATTATCCTTCCATTAGGGACCTTCAACCAGGACAGAAGTATCTTATCCACATGTGGACCTTGAGTGGCTTTAGTAGCAATGATCAACCCACAGAGAGCTTTGCTACAGCTCCATTCTATGTCTGGACTCGTGAGTCTGACTGAACATTTCCTGCTTGCTTCTTGCTTCTTGCTTTGCCATCTTTGTTATTTATAAACCAATTAAAACAACAGAGCAAAACCAGTACTCCTATAACTGTTTGTACTGCCCTTGTTGCTACTATGGGAGAGCATCTGACTAATTTTTCCTCTGATTCTGATTTGAATGATCATTTATTTCTAAGGAAGGAAGGAAAGAGATATATTTTTTCATTTCTAGTACTTGTGGAGGCATTTCTTTTCCTTGTCCTCACATATAAAAAACTGAACAAACTTTTCTTCTATTTGTACAGAGAGCATACTACAGTTTAATAGGTGGCATTAGCTTCATAGTACTGCTAAAGATGAAACAACCCCTAATTGTTGAAGTCACAATATGAAAATCATTAAACTCTGTTCTGCATGCAACTTCCTCCAAAGTAAGAGTCTGGAAACTAAAGGAGAGAGTGACTTATCTTGCAGGTCAATGGTATTCAGTTGGAATGAACCCTTACCATTCAGTGTCTTGATTTCCTGCTTTATTTTATATTACTTCATCAGATTAGATGATGCAGAAGGATTGTTCAGATATTACTTGCCTCCACAATTCCATCTGGAGTGAGTTAAAAATCTGCTTCTAGCTTAAACTATTTTGAACATTGCTCCTCCTCTATTCTTGTTATGAAGAGCAGCAACCAAATAAATGCAATGATTTCATAGTACACATGTGACACTTTCTTTCTGATGAATGGAATGATGTTGGGGGAGGGAAGAGGATACAAATATAAGAGAGGGCACAAACGTAATAGAATCCTAGGAGCCAGATAATTAATGTAATCTTAGAAGCTGCTTATTCATTTGAGAAAGCAAAGAAGTGATCTTAGTGCTAATCTTGAGGGTTTCCCCCATTTTCACAACTATTTATTTGATAGGCAGCTAAAAACAATTCCAATCAAATTTCCTCCTTCTCTCTGAACAGGACCTCTTTCTCCTAGAAACCTCACTGCATCCAGAGTTGCAGCTACCTCTGTCCAGATGGCTTGGGGACAACCCCTTGTGGGCTCAGTGGAAGGTTACATCATCAATGTCAGTACCAGCCAGAGCGTAAAGAGCCGCTATGTCCCCAATGGAAAACTGTCTTCCTATACAGTGCGTGACCTGAACCCAGGTCAAAGGTATCGCTTATCTGTGATGGCTGTTCAAAATACTGATCAAGGACAAGTGATGAGTGAACCTGCCCATCTTTATATTACAGCCTGTAAGTGTAGATCACACATTGTTCTCCATACTGCTGTTGTTTGCCTTCCTCATTAAAGATGAGGAAGGTAATCTTAGAAGGAGAAGTGTGCTTGTATTCGTCTATATACTTCATGCATTCAATGATCACCACTTCTATTCTCTGTGATAAAAGCAAGATGGATTTTTCTTAGCAAAAGCTGAGAATCAGTGTTTGCATCCTGCTTCCTTGGATGTGCAAATGAACAGGAAAAGGTCAGATATCTTGCTTATCTTTTTGATTTAAAGAAAAATCATGCTAAAGAAGCAAAAAGAAGTTGTGGAAATTAATTATTGAATATCTCATTTTTAAAAAACAAGTAATTGAGAGGGAAGTGAAATAAATCCGGTTGTGACTGCAGCTCCAAGGAAAGTTAACCCGTCTGTCTAACACCATTTTTCTGATAAGGAATGCCTCCCTTGCTGAATCTGTTTTATTCTAGGAGTCAGATTTTTATTGGGAAGATGGCCTAAAAGGAAAAGGTTTAACTCTACCATCTGTACAACATCATAGTTACAATAACATTCACCAGCATATTTTCCTTGAATTTTTTTTTTAGGACAGTGACAGACCCTGCTGAAGAGAAGACAGTCCCTGAGGTACCCAGGTTCTTACCCAGCTTTTTGCAGTACATTCTATTCACCCAGTTCTGTAATCATGTCTTATATTTAGTGCAGAAAGATGGCACCTCTGAAAGACGCTGGAGCCAAACGGGGCATCCACGGGTGCTGAGAAACAGAGTGCCCCCAGCTTTCCTACCAGAATTGCATGTGCTTGCTGATCACACTGTCCCTGAGGAACCCTCGCTAGCACCCAGGTAAAGAATGAAGCTAGGTTACCAAACAAAATAAATGTAGATGCATAAGGTGCTAAGTCTGAGCATATCATTTCACCTTTGCAAATGGGAATGTCCTAGTATTTCTCTTTTAAAAGATTTACAGAACTAGTGGATGGCAGAGGGAGGATCACCACTAAAATCAGCAGCTCCCCAAGTCGATCTGTCACTATGAGAACACGTATGTGCTGTTCACCCTCCCTCCTTGGTTTTCTGCTCTCTAACATAGCATAAGCTTTCTGGTTAAGGTATTCTTGACTGCTTCTTCTAGAACCAGAGGCTCCTGTGAAAGTTGAAGAAAATGTGGAGGAATCAACCAGTCGGGCCAAACTGGCATTGGAGCTGTCAGAACCTGAGAGTACCAAGAGAGAAAGTATGTTTGAAGAGAGGAGACAGAGATGGTCCAAGATTACCCCTTGCCTCTTCAGTCTTAAATAATGTTTGATTTGTACTGAATTATCAAGAATCTAAAAATAGCCAGAATATCTCACCCTTTCCTTTGTATTATCAGGTGAGAGGCAGAATTGTTCCATAAACTTCTGCAAAAATGGTGGGACCTGTGTTGCTGGCTTAGAGTCTTACAATTGTGACTGTACTCCTGGATTCAAAGGCAGATTATGTGAACTAGGTGAGTTAAGAAGAAAGTGTGCTTTTCTGAACTCTTCTGCCACATGGTACTAAGAGAGAGAGAGAAAAACAAAACAAAACAGGGTAATAGGAAACTGCCTGGACAATCAGAATCAATGGAAGTGTTGCTTCTCTTTTTAAAAGGGATGAAAAATTTACACACAGAATTAGAAATGTTGTTTAGCAGTGCAGGATAAAAACAACATAGAAATTTGTCCACAGGCTGGAAGGATATCCTTCAGAGTTGAGTTAAAAATCTGCAGTGGGAAATAGGGGAAGAGATTGATATATAAGCTGTAAGAAATATACACTACAGTACTGACAAAATTCTTTCTGGACCAAGGAAGACATGTGCCCACACCCCCACCATAAATGTAATGTTTATCTGGCTTTGGGAGCTGAAAAATCCATTAATGTAAACAACTAACCCTTGCAAAGTATTGTTCACATCTCAGTCTGTAATATGGCTTTTTTCCTTCCATGAACTGAAAAAAAATGATAATTTATTCTTGGAAGAGGAACTAACTCTTGCAGGAGTCTTTATCATAGGAGACTGTAATGCTCACATGAGTAAACCTCTCTTTTCTCTGAAGTAACATATGCTCCCAAGAATCTAACTATATCATTGGTGCATATGCATAAAATAAAAACTTAGTGGCTTAAAAAACTCACTGTCTTTGGGAGGTGAATTTTCATAGAGAAATATGTGAGTGTGTGTATGCGTATGTGTGCATGCACTTTCTATATTGTTCTGGTTGAGAAAGTATTTACTTTGTAAGCTGTATTTTATTTATGAAATCTATTTCTGGTCTATAAATGAACATTAAAAACCATACAAGGGGAATACCAGTTTGGGGAATGATTTGGAAAGTAACAGTAGATATCAAAAAGAGAAGCAAGGTGTGCACATACAGTCGTGTGAAAAAGAAAGTACACCCTCTTTGAGTTCTATGGTTTTATGTATCAGGACATAATAAAAATCATCTGGTCCAAAAGTAAGTAAATGCAACCTCAGATGAACAACAACACATGACATATTAAACCATGTCATCATTTATTTTATAGAAAGAAAGCCAAAATGGAGAAGCCATGTGTGAAAAACTAAGTTAAATACAACCTCAGATGAACAACAACACATGACATATTACACCATGTCGTCATTTATTTTATAGAAAGAAAGCCGAAATGGAGAAGCCATGTGTGAAAAACTAAGGTCACCCTTACTGCTTCCATAGGTATGAAGAGGCTAAGTAGCAGCCAGGTGCTGCTAATCAAATGCCCTTGATCAATTGATCATCAGCAAGTGTGACTACCTCTATAAAAGCCAAAGTTTTAGAAGTTTGCTGGTCTTGAGTATTGAGGTTTGTGTTAACACAATGCTGAAGAGTAAAGACATCAGCAATGATCTTAGAGAAGCAATTGTTGCTGCCCATCAATCTGGAAGGATTATAAGGCCACTTCCAAACAATTTGAAGTCCATCATTCTACAGTGAGGAAGATTATTCACAAGCAAAAAACATTCAAGACAGTTGCCAATCTTCCCAGGAGTGGGCATCCCAGCAAATTCACCCCAAGGTCAGACTGTGCAATGCTCAGAGAAATTGCAAAAAAAAATCCAAGAGTTACATCTCAGACTCTATAGGCCTCAGTTAGCATGTTAAATGTTAAA